TCTATCCTTCTTCTTTTCTCTTTTTCTCTGAATCAGTAGCCCTCCTCTTCTTCTTACCAACCGTAGTCCAATTTCCATCAGTGCCCTGTAGGTCAGCCGGGCCCGGACCGGTCCTTTATGGAAATAGTTGTAATTCGTATTATTGATTTGGCCAAAGGTTTTACACCGGATGACCGCAACCCTTACCATTTATCCGGGCTTGGGACCGGCACTATAAAACACTGGATTGTGCACTGTAGTGGCTGGTTTGATCTTTGATTATGATGTCCGTTTTGTTTTACCTGAAGGAATTAATTTTAATTACCTGCAGCGTATTAAACAAATCACTCACATTAAGATGTCGCTATCCTTTTAAACTCAACCATTAGTGAGACAAGCTGGTAAATAAAGACAAACGATGCCCTCCTCATGTCTTCTCCCTCTCCTCACCTTCCCAGCCAATGAACTGACTGTGGGGAAAGTTTACGCTGCACTGATGATCTTTGACTACTACAAGCAGAACCGTGCAAGGAGACTGCAGCAGCAACAGAAGGCATCAGGCACCCAGGTCCAACATCTCACACACACACACACACACAAACAGACACATAGAGACACAGGCATGCCCTGAAGAACACCCACCGTGGATGCAGTGATGCATGTGCACAGCAAACATTCAGACTATTCACATAAACACATACTAGAACACAAATGCATGCAAATACACACATGCAGTGAGTGACTTTTGTATCCACCTAATCTTCAGTGGTGGATTACAAAACTGACAGCTTCCACAGTGACACGTTTCACCGCAGGAGCACCGAACACTTGGTCGGTCTCATTTAATTAGCACCGACATGTAATTGTTCACGTTGGTTTATGTGCACTTGTATGAGGTATTAGCATTAGTTGGTCAACATCTCTGACTGTGTTAGTACCTCATAAAATTGAATGATGAAAAACCTCACTATCCATTAGAGGTACTCTAACACATCTCAGCCGTAGCACTTGGCTGCTAGTTGGCACATATCTTGCAAACTTGCACATGTACTGCACTGCTGTTCGTTTGTTTCCACACACACACACAGATGAGCATGACTGCAAAAGATGAATATTGTCGGCCCCAGTTTTCAGTGTCAAGTGTGTGGCAGCAGTGAGCTTTTGCTGTCACATCTGGGCCCAACGATATTTTGACTGCTGCCTCTGGATGTCTTCAGCATGGTGCCATCCGTCTCTTCTCCACAGTGCAAGGTCAGGGCTCTTTTTAAGCCATTGCTGCCTCTGACTCATATGCAGGAGAAAGACCTGCCTATGATGTTAAACAGCATGGAGCCTCCCAGCATGCTACAGCCACAGCCAAAATCTCATGCAAAGTCCCAGCCACAGACCAGCTCCAGCTCTCTCAACAATGGCAGCATGATGTAAGTTCAATTCTCTATGGACTGAATTATCATTTCAGCATCGGGACCAAAACATATACAGTGGAACCTCGAGATACGAGCATAATCCGTTCCAGGACCGAGCTCGTAACTCAAGGTACTCGTATCTCGAATCATGTTTTCCTACGGAGCCCCTAAAGGGACATGGGGAAAAAAACAAAAGCAAACGTATCACGTGCTCACAAGATACTTTCTCATGCTCACGAGAAAGTATATCTAAGACATTTTGCCACACATACATACAGGGTAATACATTATATAACAAACAATCATGTACAGTACATACGGTTGGGAAATCTAAGATACCGGCATGTCATGCGTGACATATGTACTGTATATATGGTGAGCATTTAATTAATGTAGGGTACCTCAGTTCGACACCTATCGCAACGACTGCACTAAGACAGGGACCAGTGTATTTCGTGACAACTTTCACGTAATTACGTGATGTCTGTAAAGCACACTGAGTTTGCTTTGTGCATGAAATGCGCTCTATAAATAAAATTGAAATTAATGAAATGATGAAAGTCCACCTGCGAGCCAAGAATATGGCTCGTTTACACGATTCAGATGAATTGTACATTATGCTTGGCTTGAGTCATGGTGAGATTTTATAAACATTGGGCTCTGTGGATGCGATTGTTATTGGTATGCGTACTCAGAAGGATGAGGATGATTTACGTATATACGTATTTATTCTTCACGAACCTCCCTACAAATTACCATCAAATTAAAGTGCTCAAGCCGCAGAAATAGTGGCGTTAACAGAAGCATTGAAATTATCAAAAGGAAAAGACGTTACCATTTTTACTGATAGCCAATATGCGTATGGTGCAGTACATATTTTTGCCCAGTTGTGGAAAAATAGAGGTTTTAAAACCTCTATGGGGAAATCTGTAATGCACCATAAACTTTTACAAGAACTATTGAAAGCAATCTCACTCCCTAAAAAATTAGCTGTATGTAAATGTGAAGCACATACATGAAAAGATGATCAAATTTCACAAGGAAATGAAAGAGCTGATAAAGCCGCAAAACAAGCAGCTATGACACTTAAAAACACAGACATTAACACAAGGTATTGATACATGCGACACACAGGAAGTATTGAAAACATGACAAGAACAGGCATCTAATACTGAAAAGCGTTATTGGATGGCCCAAGGAGCAAAATTAGAGAATGGCATTTTTATAAGGACAAATGGAAAACCATGGTTACCTAAATCATTATTCAGATGGGCTGCAGTTATGACACATGGGCCGTCCCATGTGTAAACAGGAGGGATGGTATCATTAGTAGATAAGCAATTTAATACAAAGGGATTCCATTTATTTTCTAAAACTTTTTGTAGACAATGTTTGATTTGCATTAGGAATAATGCACAGGGCCAGGTGCGAACAAGACGGGGGAAATTTCCAGTTCCTGAATATCCATTTCAGGTTATTCACATGGATTTCATACAATTGAATAAGGATAAAGGATATGAGTACTGTTTGGTAATCATAGACACCTTAACAAAATGGGTTGAATTGTTTCCATGTAAAACACCAGATGCTATTACTGTGGCAAAAGCCATATGTAAACGAATAATACCAACTTTTGGTGTTCCAGAGATCATCAGAAGTGATAACGGAACACATTTTGTGAATCAGATTATAGACAGAGTAGGAGAAAATTTGAAAATAGATCTCAAAAGACACACAGTATATCATTCACATTCAGCCGGACTAGTGGAAAGAACTAATGGAACTGTAAAAAAATAAGCTAATAAAGGCAATGCGTGAAACAAAAAGGACATGGACAGAGTGTGTAGATTTAGTACAACTAAATATGCACATATTACCAGCAGAAGGTACTAATTTGACGCCATTTGAAATGTTGTATGGAAGAAACTTCCGCATTCCAGACTTGGACCTAAAGGAAAAAGATGGCCCAGATTCAGTCTGGACATTAGCAGACTATATGCAGCAAATGTTAACACAGAAAGAAGTGCAAAGAACAAATTGCTGTCCGACAATTTCTCTTCCACAGGAGATGAGACCAGTGAAGCCTGGTGACTGGGTGTTTGTGAAGGCCATAAAGAGAAAGTGCTGGTCGAGCCCCAGGTGGGAGGGTCCATACCAAGTGATACTAACAACGCCAACTGCAGTGAAGGTTGCAGAAAGGAACGTCTGGATCCACCTGAGCCACTGCAAAGTACGAGACTTGGACGATCTGTCTTCCTGTCCTGGTATGGGGAAGTCTGACTACAAAGAGGAGTAAGTAGGATAGACTTACTCGTCTCAAGGCATCGGCTGCGTCAGTAAAGAGTTAAGCACATCCCATCAGTTTAGGGGAGCGGCAGACGTACTCAGTGATGGCCTGAGGATCAACGTATCGAATTGTAGTATCAACACTTGTTGTTGTATACCTTTTCTAAGAAACATGGCAGAACGAGTCCTTGAGAAAGCAGTTGGAGCATACTTGTTTGAAACTGACTATCAAAGACTAACAGGCTAAGACCCAGACCACAATGGTCCTTATGATGACGTGAAGATTGTTGACACTCATGTAAGATTCCAATGTTGAAAATCTGTTTGAAATGATATTGTGATGATGAACTTGTGATGTGTTAACTTTGACAAACAGGAGGGAAATGTAAATAGAATTTATAGTTAGTTACCAAAGTGTGTTAAACCAAAGTGTGGTGAACCATAAACTGTTATCTATCTAAGTGTGGTAAATAATGGTCTGCTGGACAGGAGTAGATACCCCTAAAAGGATTTTTACTATGCAGGTAAATAAAGGATGAGGTCTGTTTATCATCAAGTATGGGGATCAGATGACCTTTGCCCTGGGAGTAAAACTCAAAGAAAAAAACAACTGCCCAGTACTTGTGAAACTTTCTCAATAAAAGGAGCTGTAGTCCTCATACACTTTGAGACTTAGGTGAGCCAACTCTGCGAAGCTGTTGGTCTCTCTGCTCCCCCTAGCAGCGAGTAAAAAGTACAACGTTGTCAGGTGTGGTTCTTTTCAGGTCATTCTATCTGCGGCAGTTAGATGACAACAGTGGTGACTGAATAACGTAATTTTCGGCACCAACAACAGGCCATAAAGTTGACATCTCCAACATGGAAGGGTGCAACATATACTTCTGATATGCTAATTGGTGCAGCTAAACTGGTTGAAAACAGCATGGAGCACAGAATAAGATCTGTCACAGACCATGACATGTTTGACAATGACTATATGGTGAGAGGCCTAGATGTAGGTGTAAACAAGCACAGTGTCAAACACAGAGAACCAAGATAGAAAGGGAAACAGACATAGATCTAATAATGTTTGTAGGAAATGTGGTAAACGAGGCCACTGGGTGCCGCTGAATTCACCTAACACTAGTGTGTAGTGTCAAAAACTAATACTGTCAGGATATTTCTTCAACACTAAATAGTGTTCAAGTTATATTGACACTATGGCGAGTGTTAATAATTTAATATAAAAACATTTTATAGTTGATTTAATTAGAAAGATACTACTCCTAAAAACAGTACTATTTCCAAAAACAATACATGCCACTTGAATTTACAAAGAAACGCACTCAATTGCAATTTAAAACAGATTTTTATTTCAAACAAACACCACATAAAACAGGCTTTGCCACAACAAAGTCAGAAAATATGACAATGTCTACACTAATATATATACACTACTATTTGCATACCTGCAAATATCTCACAACATGGCCAGCAGCTTGACATGAGCTGATTCTAGCACTTTTCTTGTGTCCTTTGGAGGTAGGGGGAACAGGTGAACCAGAAATAGAATGCTTAACAGGTCACTGTCCCAGCCCAGGGGAAAACAGGAGAAATATATAATATAATGTATATAAACAATTGAGACATTTTTAAAAATACATGAACATGTACAATGAACAAAGCAAACCACACCAACCTGAGTCGTGCTGCACAGACAAGAGCAAAAGTGCTGATTTGAGGTCAGTATTTTGCAGTCTGTCAGGATCCTAGGTTAGAAAGACTCCCTCTTTTTCTTTGGACTATCTTGATAGGTTGTGTTGGTGGAGGGTCTAGGGAAATGAGCTGCAGTGTTCCGTTGAACAGTCTTTATCCTCCAGGCCAAGTAGCCAGATCTACTGTTGCGTCATAGAAGTGTTCCTGTAATATTAAAAACATTAAATTATAGATCAAGTTCAGAACACTTAATGACTGCATGAATTAAAATATAACCAATTCACAAACTTACATATCCTTTGTCTGAGTGTGTATCTCTGAGGCTGGGAAATAGAGCCATGATGCCGAAAGCATATTTACTTCGCACAGAGACTGGTGGGCTCTTCCTGAAAGACAAACATGACATTGCCACTAAAATTGCCAAAACGTGAAATATTTTATCGTGTTTTCAGTGAGTTTCAGTCTCTGTCAAATTGATAGTTTTTGAATGGTTTAGCCCTTTAATAATGATTTCTGTCATGGGAGAAATTAAATAATAAATTGCTTTAATAATAATATAATATCTCCTAAAATGAGTGTGCTCTATTAAAAATTATTTGTATTTATTTATATTTAATTCTGTATTATGTAAAAATGTTGGCCACAAGAAGGTTTACCATCTGTCTTCTTGTGCTATCCGTCAAAGTTTTCATTCGATCATATTCATCCAAAATAACCTGTCCACCGTCTTTAGCCTGGAGAACCTCTCTCTCGTCTAAAATACAGAAAGAAAAAAAGCAGACAGCTAGAAATGATACCTATCACCATTATCACAATTATGTCCAACAACAAAACCACAGTTTAATTGCACAGAATCTTTGTGTCTAATATTTTATTCGATAGTACCAACATTTATTATAAAAGCTCACCTTTTTTGCCGATTTCCAGCATGGGTTCTCGTCCCTCCGTTAGTCTGAACGATCACTGTTGCATCTGATGAGTCAGATGTTTGCAAGGAGTCTTGTGATTCAGATGAGTTGTCTGACATGGATGACTCCAACGAAGACAGATCATGTTGAAGCACAACTGTAAAGAGTTTTTGGAAAATGTATACACGGTGCTGGCCTGAGTGAGAATTCACTCCCCAGGTCTTTCCCCAGAACCTGGTTCTGGCCGTGCATGGTTTTCAGTCGTTCTCCACCCGATCCTTAGGTCGCTGGTTCAAATCCGGCTCGAAGGACCAATTTATGTTAGGTTTATTCTAACATATGTGACGACAAAGTAACAACACAAAAGACGTCTGGATCTTTTACTTGCAAGGGGAGAGTGCAGCTTGCTCTGCTGGCAGCTTCCTCATCAACTCCGAGTTGCTGCACCCTTCCTCTGCTCTTTTATTTAGTTTACAAAAGTATCAGATTACATATCATGTGATCGTGTGTGAGTATATGAATGGGTATGGAAACCTTTCTAATTTGCCTGTTTTCAAGGTTTCATGGTGGGTGTCAATGTGGGTGTGGCTGTGTCTGGTGATTTCTCCATCAGTCTTGAGTACACTAGATTATAATATGAGAAGCACACAGTTTCTTAAAGCGTAAGTACAGCATGAAGCAATGATAATAAATTAAATTCTTCCAATGTTCCCCTCCTGTTTATCATTCATGAATGCCAAATTCTCTTATCCTGCATTATGGCTCCTTAGGCTAGGTTTTCCATAACACATTCATTTTTGACACCACACATAATCTCCTTTGCCTTTATGAGGAGTAAATGCTCCTGTTTTAGTTGTATTAGAAATTGGTAGGAAGATTTACAGGTGTCAACAAAGTTGTGTCATGTTTCATTATTTCATTTTATTCCTAATTACTACTCTAATGAATCCCATTAGATCTACTCCAGTCTGATCTACTCCAAGGACCAAATATATTCCAGTTTGATTTGTTTTACCAGAGAGTTTTCAATTACTCTGTTGGTAATCTTTGTGTCTGTACACATTTTTATTTGACATTGTGGGAATCCATTGATCAGTATATCCTACTACCATGTTCCAATCTTCACACCATTCTCTACGGGGCAGCCGTATGTGTTCACATCGGCTATGGACATAATAATGAAAACACACATATAGGTCATAAGGTTTGTAAGTGTAGTTTCAATTGTTGCAATTAATTACTGAACACAGATCGAACGTGTAT